GCCTGCACCCGCGGGCAGTGGGCGGTGGGGTCTTCCCCATGCCTGCAGCCCGCCGGCATGCCACAGGACCGGGGAGCAACCAGCCCTTCTCGGTGCCGTGGGGAGAGCTGTGGCTCTTCATCCACTGCGACCGCTTCCCCTGCGGCATGAGCTTTGTCCCAAGGTCTGGTGGCTCTGGGGACCAGCTTGAGGAGGGGAAGGGCTGGAAGGAGGAGTGAAAGAGAGCTGTGAAGCCCCCCTGGAAAGTCCCTGCAGCTCCGGAATCATCGGGGCTCCCTGCACACTGCCAGACACAACCTCCACCCTCCCGCAAGCGAAACTTCCAGGACAGTTTCCGTCCTGCTGCCCCTAGCTGAGGAGCTGGCAGCTCCGACAGCATTTCTCGCAGGGAAGCACTGAGAGCAGCCCGAAGCAGAGAGAGTCCCTGCGCCCCGCGGGGCTCTGCCTTCCTGCCCCCATCCCAGCTCTGCTCGGATCGGGGGCAGCAACTGATGCGGGAGGCAGACTGGGTTGCGCAGCTTTGGTTTTAGGGGTTTGGTTTTGGGTTTAGGACTTGGCCCTTTTCTGGACCCAGCTGAGCTGTCCCCCGGCTCATCCCAGCCTCCCCTGGAGCACTCAAGGGCTCCAAAACCCCTCTGCAAATGCAAGCCTGATTTCAGCTTGTGCTTTTTGCTGAGAAAAACAGGAACTGGTCATTTGCTGAGTCGTGCATTTCTGAAATAAATCATTTCAGTTAAACCTCCCCCGTCAAGGCTTTGCTTTAGGAGCAGCTTAAGCCAGTGGAGGGGTGGCAGGAGGGACGCAGAGGTGGCAGGGTGGGAAGGACCTCGCTGGTCTCCCTGCTCTGGGCTGGATGGAGCCTCGAGAGCAGATCCCTCCTTGCTCTGCCCATCTGGGTTTGGGCTGGCCAGGGGTGCCCGGGGGGTGAAATGCCTCCCCCCTGCAGCTGGTTTGGATTCAGGCACACGCCAGTCCAGCCTTGCTCACAGCTCCCTCCCTCCTAGCTCTCCCGCTGTGCCCCAGCAGCCGAGATTTATTAGTACAAATAGGAGCTAAAAGCTCAGTCTCGCTGGGGTTGGGACAGAGTCAGGGATTTTTTAGTCTAGCCAAGTCCTCCTTCCTCCTCCGGGCATCACCAGCGAGCCCCTCTGCCCCTTGCTGCAGATGCCACAGTCCTGCCAGGGAAGCATTCGAAAATAAACATTGCGAGGGTGCCGAGGTGAGGAAGGAAGGAGAAGCACCCACCGTGGGTGCAGCCCTTCTCGCGGCTGCCGGCACGGGGCTTGCCGGGACGTCAGGCTGACGGCGACCCCGGCACCGTTACCTGGGGGCGGCCGGGCAGTGGCGCC